GCACTGTACTCTGGAGACAGAGAACAGTGCTACACGTCTGAAAAGGCCAGTTTGTGAAAGGTCCATGTGTTTGTTTTGTTTAAGGTAAAAAAAAAAAAGAAACGGCATGATGGGATGTGCAGGACTTGTAGAGAGAACCAAATATGTGAAGCACTTTTTTGTTAATTTATGATTTGCTGCATATAAGGAATAAAACAAAAATCTTCTGTCGTACCATATTGAAGTATCATTATTTTGCATCGTGTTGAATCAAATCGTATCAAACTGTATCGCAACAGGGGTGAATCGTATGTATCGCATCGCCTGGTGTTTCAAATGTATCGTTAATGTATCGTAGGCAAGGGATACCTTGCCTACGATACATTAACGATACATTTGAAACACCAGGCGATGCGATACATACGATTCACCCCTGTTGCGATACAGTTTGATACGATTTGATTCAACNATGACTACTTTTACTGTCGCTACTTTCACTATATTTTGATGAGAATACTTTTCTACTTTCACTTGAGGAACATTTTGAATGCAGGACTTTTACTGTAACAGAGTATTCCTACACTCTGAGTACTTCTACTTTTACTCAAGAACAAGATCTGAGTACTTCTACTTTTACTCAAGAACAAGATCTGAGTACTTCTACTTTTACTCAAGAACAAGATCTGAGTACTTCTACTTTTACTCAAGTACAAGATCTGAGTACTTCTACTTTTACTCAAGTACAAGATCTGAGTACTTCTACTTTTACTTGAGTACTTCTGCTTCATGATGTGTGTGTCTCGTTGTTTGTACATAGTAATGTGTCTCTTCCTGACCACAGAAAAACACCTGAAGGCCTCTAACACAGCTCTTAACTTCCTCTTCTCTTGTCTCTTCCCAACAGGTTTCCCAATGAGGAAAAGTACCGATCGATCCGCATCGGAAACCCCACGTTCTCCACCAAGCTGCTGCCCATCAAAGGAGCTGTGGAGTGCCTCTTTGAGATGGGGTTTGAGGAGGTAATGAACGAATCACAATCCTGGTGCACCACTACAATCTGTAATAACTGTGATCTGGATGCTATCACACTACTTCTACATGCTACACTTATATTTTATGTTTGAAATAAGGGGGGTCACAGGTTCTAACCCCACTGCAGTCAGCATGTCGTTGTGTCCCTGAGACACTTCACCCCAAAGTGCTCCTGTGGGGATTGCCCACAGTATTGAGTATATAAGTCGCTTTGGATAAAAGCGTCTAACATGTGACATGTAATGTAATGAAAAAATAGCAATATTTAAATTGAATATAGGTGAAAATAACATATAATAAAAGGATATATGTGCAGGATTAGTATGGCAAGTGGTGTAAGAGGTAGCTTTGTGTACAATGTGCACAACTCTGAGGGTTGTGCAGGACTGACTAAAATAAATAAGATATGGTTTGCATTAATGTAATGCTTAGAGTGATTCTGATGTTTTCATTAGCCTGACACTGACGGTGATGTTGCTCCTCCTTTTCAGGCTGAGACCCACCTGGTGTTCCCCAGGTCTGCATCAGTGGATCAGATGAAGCTCATCAGGGACTCCATAGCATCAGAAAGAGACCGGAGACTGGGGGGGAGGCAGGCTGCATCTCCCATTACTCCCACTTTACCCACTACTCCCACTACTCCCACTTTACCCACTACCTCTCCCACTACTCCCAGCTCGGCCTCAGCTCCAGTGGTCTCTGCACCTCCTCCACCACAGCCTTCCTCCCTGGTAAAGATCCACGTTAAAAATACGATACGGTAAATTAGCGGTTATGTAGCACAGCAGGGAAGTAAAAGCAAGCATTAAAGGCCAAAAGGATTAAAGTGATTCTGTTACAAATCCTACAATTTCATGTTTAAAAAAGGCAAGAAGAGATGGTATCATCATCTACGATACGATAATACTTTAATGGTCAGATGAAGTCTGAAATGCTCCTTGCATCACAGCAGCTCCATGTGTAACATCAACAGACAAGTATCAAGACACAATACATGAGAAACAAACAACAAACATTGAACATCAGGATCAGTGAGAGAAGCTGCTCAGAGAGCCTTTAGCGTCATTTGATCTGGATTCAGCTCTGTGTTCACTGAGAGGACTGACTGGAGCACAAAGGATGTTTAAAGGTCCCATGTCCATTTCTACTGATCATAGTTCCATTGTTGAGGTCTACTAGAATAGATTTACATTGTTCAATGTTCCAAACTCACATTGGTTTCTCAAACAGCATCTCTGTATAGTATGTGTATTCACTCTCTGTCCTACACGGCTTGTTGGAGCTCCTGACCCCCCCCCCCCCCCTGAGCCCAGTGGCCGTCTGCGAGACAGCGAGACACAGCGAAACCCAGCCCGAACACACACACACACCCGCAGCCTGGCTGGGAGTTTGTGTGTACCCAGGCTGAGTTCCGCGGTGTCTCGCTGTCTCGCCGACCCCACACCAGTGAGCCAGCTCACAGTGTCCCGCTCCTCGCAGCAGCGACCCTCGCAACGTCCCGCCGAGTGTGTGTGTGTGAGGAAGTCCACGGATTGGTCGAAACGTAACGGCTCCACGGACGTAACGTAACGGCTCAGCGGATTGGTCAATTTTGACCAATCTGCAGAGCCGTTACGTTACGTCACTATACCCGAAATACGTCACTATACCCAAGAAGTAAACAATGGAAAAAGAAATTCCCAACGAGGCGTTCTGGGGCAGCATAGACAGGTCTTCTCTGTGTTAGAGTTTTACTCGCTACAGGGTGAACTTTGAGGGTTTGTGACTCTGCAGACCGTTCACATGCAGAAAAAAAAAAAGTTTAAATGCTAGGAAATCTGTATATTTGACCTCTTTGTGGTTGTATGTTTATCTGTGATCTACAAGATAGTTATGATCTAGGATTCTGGGATAGATTGCTTTTGTCTCCACCCACACATCTGGGGAATTCTGGGTATTTTCCTCTTTAGAATAAAGCAGGAAACACAACTTTTACTCCTGTGATTAACTCTCCCCATTTATCAGGTATGTTCTCGCTATAAACAAAGTTAATCTGGTTGTAATTACTCCTTAACATTTAGAGAGTTTCTGTGACATTTGGAGTAAATTAGACGCTTGTTAGCATCGACAAACCACAGCTTTCCTGTTGAGGAAATACTGCTTTTATTATTATGATTTGCTCCTATTTATCAAGGGTTTAACAGGACACATTACACCCATATAAACCATGACTAAAACTTTATTACACCCATGTAACACCAATATTAGACCCACATTTCACACGGACACATCCTGTCAAATGAAACCATTTAAGGGTTAACGATGCGTTTGTGTTCCCTTCAGGAGAACAGTATGAACTTCTTTGCCACCCTGCAGTCTAACTTCCAACACGTGCTGCTGTACGAGAACCTGGATCTGCAGCAGAAAGCTCTGAGCCGCATCCCTGAGGAGAGGCTGAGGTCTGAGGCAGAGGTCCAGCTGAGAGGGGCCAGAGCGGAGGATCCAGGTGAACAACATTCAGAGGATAACTGTCATGTGCAGATGGAAATCAAAAATATTAAGTCTACGGCTCTTCAGACAATCCAACATAAATACTTATGACATAAAACTATAAAAATAATGCAAAAAGAAACAGAATAGGAATAAAATGGTAGGAGAGAAGCTTGAATGTGTGTCATGTGACTCAGACCTCCCCCTCCTGTCTGCAGACTGTAAACTGGGCCTGGAGGACTTCCTGGTGCTGGAGCTGCTCAGATGGTTCAAACAGGACTTCTTCTCCTGGGTGGACCACCTGCCGTGCAGCCGCTGCTCAGGAGCCACGCAGAACTCGAACCCTCTGCAGCCCTCTGCTGAGGACCTCCGCTGGGGGGCCCAGAGGGTCGAGAACCACTACTGTCACACCTGCAGGCTCTCCACCAGGTTCCCCAGGTGTGTGTGTGTGTGTGTGTGTGTGTGTGTGTGTGTGTGTGTGTGTGTGTGTGTGTGTGTGTGTGTGTGTGTGTGTGTGTGTGTGTGTGTGTGTGTGTGTGTGTGTGTGTGTGTGTGTGTGTTAGGGGTTTCACAACTACCAATATTTACCAACCAAGTTTTTTTTTTTTTTGGGGGTTTTTTTTTTTTTTTATTAATAACCCCCCTTTTTCCACCCCTGGCCCAAATAGCAAAAACCTCCCCCCCCCCCTTGTTTTTCGCTTATTTCCCCAACAACCGGGGGCCGGGTGACACCCCTAAATAAAAATGTTTTGCAAACCGTAAAACATAACATTTTTTTTTTGTTTTTTTCTTTTTTTTCAAAAAAAAACCGACAGCTTAAAAAAAACCCAACCTCCCCAGGGGTCCAACAAACAAAAATTTTAAAAATGAGGTTTTTACGTCTTGTGGTTTATTTTACGTTCACAAATTACATACATACTCAAGGTTATCTTTTATGTCAACATTGGAGAGAAACACACAGAAATAAATACTGCATTGCTGATCCAGCTGATGATAAAACTTTTTGAA